CGGCTTTCCCTTTGCGGTTTTGGGGATACCCCGCGCTTCTTTCCAACCCCACCGCGTCAGTCGCGATCTAGCCTCGAACGCGAGGACGTTACGAAAACACTAAACTAAACTAGACTAAACTAAACCAGACTAAACGCTAAATCCAAACCATTCACCGCTCCCTCTGACAGGGGAGGAGAGGGGTGTCCGGGGAGGGAGACAAACAGGTTTTGCCTCTCGGCGGCGGCGGCGCGCAGGTTCAAAGGCGTCGCTCGGTGGGGCGAAACTCTCGCCCGCTCCCCCTCCCCGCCGCGGACCAAATAAGAGAAAACTTCCATCCCGACTCGGGGGTCCGATTTCCAGGAAGCGAGAAAGCCAGCATCGCGCCCGTGTTCAACACACCCACAGCTTAAGATCCTGTTTAGGGCTAAACAGATACTCGATTGTCCCCGCGTAAAGGGCAATTTCTCCGCACGATCCCGCTCACAACCACCCGAGGCCGCGGGAAAGAACAGGCGACGAGGGCTTACCTGCTTGAGAACCTGCAGGGCGGACGCTCCACAGGAGAAGAGTTAGCGCAGGCAGGCAACTTCGGATCTGGTTCTTCTTCATGGTTGCGAGGAGGTCTTCAGCTTTACTCGAGGAGAGCCCTTTCCCCTTTTCTCCCGGCGCGTACAGTATTTCAGGCTACAGCATTCCGCCGTGGGATGGGAAAGCAGCCGCCGAAATGAGAGGCACCTGATCCAGACCCAAGGGAAAGGAGTCAGCTCTGACGGGGGGCGATCAACTGCTGCTTTCCTGTTTCACTGGGTCTTTGGCGAGTCCCCTCCGTCGACGCCTTTTCTTAGTCCCCCAAAGTGGCAAATTCCCCCCATCGGAGCCACGAGCCCCGGCCGTGGCGCTTTGATCTGTTTTACTCACACACAACTCACAAATTACACACACTTCATTCAAGAGAAGCTCCTGCGTAATTGGCTGGGGCTGCGCCGCGCTCTGGCCAATCAGAGGACAACGAGAGACTCCGGAATGAGGAATGAAAAGCGGAGATTTGTTTTGAGAAGGAGAGCGCGCGCGCGAGAGTCGACCCGTGCCAGCAGTTTATTGTAACATCGTCCCACCATCTCTGTCGCGATATAAATTAATTGATGCATCAGTACAGCAATCGCTGGTGGTTGGATAGCTTCGGATGGGGCCCAAACGAAAGCGATTCTGTCGCATTTGATCATTTCATTCATGTGCTCACCTTCAAAATGAAGTCTTCTTCATGGATAACTTAGAAATCTCTTTCATTGCCCCCCCTACTACCATTTTCCACCACCACTCTTGTACTTCCCACAGATTATTAGTGCTCACAATCTGTCCCCCATAGTTATCCCAGTTAGCCCATTTACTAAAGTTAATCTGATCTGCATTAACCCCAAGGGTTGGGTTAACAACATTTCTTAGGCTAACATTTGGTACTCTACTTTGTCTCTTACATAATGTATCCTACTTTTGACACATTAAGACCCAGGTCTCTGGAAGAGGCTCTAATGCTGGGATAGGTGGAATAAAAGGGGTCACTCATGCCCTTGTTATCTCCCAGATAGACTACTGCAATGCGCTCTACATGGGGCTACCCTTGAAGA